TCAAGGCATTGGGGTTAAGTAATGTTAGGGCTCAAAATGTCATCCAAGATCTCTCTTTCTGGCATGCGCGCACACGCACACACACACGCACACACACACACACACACACACACACACGGTCACTGGGTCCTGCACAGAGGATCTCTGTCGTCCCTTGTGCAAACCACTTCTTCAGGCATGCCCCTACACGCCCAGGACACTCCCTCCTTCCTGGGAATTCGGGGACATGCTCGCAATGTGAAATCTCGCCTGGTCATTCTGTCCATTCCAAGGGTGAAAGCAAGCCGCTTTTGCAGATGTCCCACAATGCACTGCACAAGCCTGTTACAGCTGTGAGCCCTTTGAGGAAAACCCCTGCTGACAGGGACAGTGATGTACCTGGGCATGGCATTGTGGCAAAAGGGGGGGGGGAGAGACAGAAAGCTCTCTCCAGACCCAGGCAGCAGCCTGCACCCCCTCTCTCTCTAACCCCTCTGGGATGTGGAGTGGGACCTGACCCAACCCGTGAGAAGTCAGCAGAAGCATCCGAAGCTACACCTCGTTACGGCCCTTAGAGACGGGAGAGAGAGCGTGTGAGTCAGCATGAGGGTCGGCTTGGGCTGGCTGCCCAGCGGCGGAGCAGAATTTACACGACCAGCCGCATAAACCCTTTAAAAGGAAATGCGGACGCATTTTGTGGAATCGGGAGGCCATCTTGGTCTCGGCCGCGAGCTCCATCAGTGAAGTCACCGTGTTTGTTTTAGCACATAAACTGAGGATGTTTTAACGAAAGCTGCCAACTCGGCTCAGCCTAATCCCCACCCTCTACTCCCAGAGGACCCCCGCCACACTAAAAAGGGGCCCTTTGCTTAAAGGTGATACTGCATTATGATCTGCACCCACCTCTTTGTTGCTATGGTAACCCCAGTGTCACATGAGCAACAAGACTCATACATCTTGTAAAAACTCTTCATACAGCTTTATATAAATGTAGCATTACTAATTCCACTGCTACTCCTAATAGTAATAATAACAAGCAGTGTAATAATCTGGCCTGAGTGTGGTCGAGTGACCAAGTGGCAAGAATTCAGTGACTAGTGACTAATGACCAGAACATTAGGAGTGGTGACCATGACTAAGCATAAGGACAAGTCCTGCCATTAGTCACTAACAATACAATAACCAGCCATACTGTAGTAACTACACAACTAAAGACATGCAACAGCACAGTTAATCCACAAAACCACAACATGTTCTTCTGTATCCCTTGTAAAATTGTGCCTCTGTGGGGACGACAAGCTGGGTTTAATGTTTGTTCCTTGGGCAACAGGTTTAACGAGCCGGTTACCCCTGCAGTGAGACACTAACACAGTCGTGCGTCTAAAGGAGTCCTTAACAGCCCTCTGACTTATCAGCTCCTGCCCCGAAGGCACCGTCTACACACCGATCAGCTGTGTCTGCCACATGATAGGGCCCACAGCTTCATGTTTTTTAACTGGACACCCCCCACCCCACAAGCAAACAGCCAATCCCATCAGCCACAGACAGTGAAAGTTAAAGCAGAGAGCGTGGGGGGAGCATAATGATCCCCTCCTTTCCCAAAAGCCAGGGCTTGGTTTTCTCACCAGTTAATGCTGGAGGCAAAACGTCTCGCCGGGACATACCAAGCCCCGTCATTTGGGGAGGGGGGGGGGGGAGTTAGGGATTATGGCACGTAGAAACACACTAAGGACTAGAGCAGGAAGCCAGGGCAGCCATGAAAAACATGGGGAGGAGCCGCGCTCTCTTGACCTCTGTGTTGCAAGATCTGTGGGTGCTTCCGTACAATGCTTTGTAAATCATGGTATTAAAGGATTGTGAGGTATCACCTAGACCTAGAAAAGGGTGAGTGTTTTTTTTTAAGTTGCATGTGTGTGTGTACATATTTCGGGGCTGTTACAGGCAGCACTTAGGTGATTAAAGTTGGGTGTATAGTACCGAAACCGCCCCTTTACAGTGACGTATAAATGCCACCCAGTGACACAGACCTCTGTGACTCCTAACGCATGAAGAAGATCCCACCCCCCCGCGAGCCCCTCTCCCCCTGTGCTGCTGACCCGGGTCCTGAGGGTCTAAATTCGGAGGACACCAGCTGCTTCGGTGGGGCAATGACCCCCCCCCCCCCCATATTACACCCCCTGCTCCTGCCACCAAGGTTACTCTTATTAACTAAGACTAAACTAAGCCTTTGTGTGAAACAAACACCGCGATTCAAGTCAAAATCAAATAAAAATACTACTAAAACCAGCAAAGTCAAACAAAATGCTATCACATTCAAACAGAGATAAGAATATCAACGATCAGATTAAGTTAAAATGAAATGGAACTCGGGGGCGGTGGGGGGGGGACAGGAAAAACGACGTAAACAAGAAACTAATCTCTACATCCAGACGGACAGCCGGCCGAGATGCATCATAGCGTCACATAATGCAGGTACTGTGACATCATCAGCATATTTCATGAAGATTAGGACGAGCACTGATCCTCACACAAAGCATTTCTGTGTGTGTGATGTGCCGATAAAAATTACACAGATCACCACTACAATTAACTGCCTACATGACACTTACACTATTCCTAACATCACTGTGGTATTTACTGCGGCCCAGAAGCACATCTCTGAAGTGAAACAGAACAGAGGCTGGGCGTGGGTATCAAGTGGATGGATTTGTGCCAGTGGAGCCAGGCCAGAACCCTCAGCCCAACTCGGTGAGGAGACTGACGGCTCGCTTTCATCTCACGCCAGCCTGCTGGAGGATGGTGTTCTCATGACCGGGAGATGGGCCTACGGTTTGCCTTTAGACTGGAAATCAGCGTGACGCACATTGCTGACACAAACGAGAACCAAGGCACCGGCACATGCTCACGCCCTTGCCGGCTCATTTGGTGGGAAACGGGGATTCTGCATGGAGACGTGTGCCGACAAGCTCACGGTGACTGTACGTTTGTGGCAAACTCCCAGAATTCCAAACCATCAGCAAATCAGCATTCTCAAGAGTAGAAAGGGGCATAAATTCACACAGCTAAGGTGAAGTGTATCTCTGCAAATCCTCTCACATCAGGCCAGGCAGCAGAAAGCCAAGCACACGGCTGTTAAACTGCAGCAATTCAACAAAACAAATTCAGGGTGCAGTCGGCTGCTTTCTGAGGAGGCGTCGGAGTCTGGGAGGTTCTACCTGCAGGCAGGTGGACCTCCAAGGCCTGCTCCTTCTGACTGACATGCACACACAACTTGATCTTGACCCTATGCGTGTTTTTTTTTTCTTATAAGCCTGGATTCTGATGTTTCCTTGGCGATGCTAATACTGTATGCGCCCCGCATGCTGCCTGACCGCACTGTGAACCACAAACCATCCTCAGCAGAGCTGCTATCAGGAGCGCAGCCAGAGGAGACCAGGCCAGCCCGAAGGGGATCTCATTAACCCCAGGATAAGGGATTAGCCATGTGATCAGCTGTGTCACATGACCAGGAGAGCCGAGTTTGACTGGATTGGTCTCATCCCAAGAAAGGACAGAGACGTCACAAAACCATGACACATGACAGGCAGACACGCCTCAACCCCAAGAAAATCATTTTGCACCCTACAAATTTTCCGCATGCCAGTGCACCATGTGCGTTAAGCCCGGCTTGTCCATGTGTAATTTAGCCGCTCTGAGTGGACTCACACACTCGCTATGGTCCTGATGCTCAGCTGGGATGTCGAAAGGCATGAAATGCACATCTGCAGCGGGTATTAACTGCAGCAGCAGAACTCAGACCCCAGGGCCCGCCCGAGCGGGTACGCCCACAGCACAGAAGAAGAAGCAGCACCTCATCTGGCCAGACGTTATTTTTATAACCACACAGCCACACGCCCACGTCCTGCAGGAATTCCCTCGATTCTCCTCGCAATTGCAGCTCAGACTTTTCAAAGGTGGCGATCTGGATGCAAAAACATGACCGTCCGTGTTCACTCTAACGCGTAGGATCCGCAATTTCAAAAACTGTTTTGTTGCCGCGGCAACATCCCAGCTCGCCAAACAGGATTTCACCATGTGCTCTTGGGATTCTGAGCTGTGCGTCTAGGTGTGGCTGCAGCCCTCCCCCCCCCGTGATGCCATGCCTTTGTTTAGTCTCCCGTTCAAGCTGACTGTGTCCTCCAAAGGCCTGGGGCCCTTTCTTGACTCCAACCACCTCAGCCAACACCAGAATCACCAGAATCACCAGAATCACAGACGGTGGTCCAGCTGCTGCTGACAGCCTGGCACAGACGGACACTCAGACACATGCCCACACCATGACAGCACACACACACACACAGACACACACACAGGGTCACATGTGCACATCACAGCGGCCACGCCGACCACACTGTCAGAATGCCGTGCTGTTCAGTCCCTCCTGGATAAAAATACACCCCTTCCCTCAACCGTCCGCCTGTGACGCTCCAGGACAGACACCTTGTGTACACACACACACACACACACACACACACACACACACACACAGACCTGTACGCATAGCTTTGTGGGGGCCATCCATTCGTTTCTATGGGCAAAACCCTAATCCCAACAATGACGACCTTAACCCCTACCCAGCCCTAACCCTAACCCCTACCCAGCCCTAACCTCAATCATTAGTAACCAAACAAAATACATTTTGCCATTTTTAGTTTTTTGATAGCAGTCACAGATTACCCAGTGGGGACCGAAAAAATGTTCTCCACAACGTCAGAATAACAGGTTTTTAATCACAATATTGGGTCATTTGGTTCCTACGGTGTGACGTATATCTGGCATACACACACATACACACACATACACACACATTGTGCTGGATTTCCCCTAGACCTACACATCCACAGCTAAAAATCAGCACTTCCTCTCTAGCAAATGAAACCCATACATCCTTATTTTTGTACAGCATTGAGCAGAAATCCCTTTGTTCAAAGCCCAGACCACTTCCTGTTTAATGGCATCAGCGACGTAAGCGTGACACCCACCTGGGAAGGCATGGGGGCTGGGGGACCCTCTCTTCAGGCACTTGGAGCACAGGATGTGCACGGTGTAGTGGAGCCCTGGCCACTCCTGCAGCAGGGAGTTCAGCTCCTCCACCAGAGGAGTGATGGCCTGCCAGGCCGTCCAGATATTGGGCAAGGAGGCGTGGCTGGCGATGGACAGGGTCTCGGCCTGCAGCCGGCAGCGGGATGGCCGGTGGGTCACCACCACGGGCACTTTGCCGCGGTAGGCGAAGACGTGGCAGCGGCCGTCCGAGCGCTGCACCACATGGCTGTTGATCTGCACGCTGTACCTCGCGAACAGGCCCGGCGGCAGCAGGAAGGGAAAGCTGTACTCCACCTGCAGCTGCTCCACCGACAGCAGCTGTCCCGGGACACCACCACCACCCCCGTTCACCCAGGCCTCCGCGTGCGGGTCCTCGTTGCTCACATAGCTGGGGAACTTGTACCAGACAGTGGCGCCATTGAGCGGTTTGCTGCGGGGCTTGTTGACGCAGTAGCACACGCCCATCTTCTCCAGAAGTTCCAGGATGAGCTGGAGGTCCTGCTGGGTCTGGATCAGCGGCCGGAGCAGCAGGCGGATGATATGTGATGGCAGCAGGCCGTACAGCAGGAAGCCCTCCACGTGGTGCTGCAGCTGGGCTTCCCTGGCTCGGTCACCCCGGGTCTCCACCCCCTCGGCCAGCAGCCTCTCTAGCATGGCGGATGGATCCCCCTGGAAGAAGACGTTGAGGATGGCGATGAAGCGTGGCAGGTTGTGGAAGATGTACTCCTTGAGTGTTGGGCTGTCCTCAAAGTAGAGCAGTTTGCCGCTCTCATGCAGGTAGGACAGGGCGCTCTGCAGGCGGTCCTCCGTGAGTCCGGCTTGGAGGCCCAGGCGGGCAGAGTCCCACCAAGACAGCCACAGGTCCTGGGGCTTGAAGTGCAGCTCCTCCAGCATGTGCCAGGACTTGGGCAGCACGCGGTGCAGATTGGGGAAGATCTCCCTATGGTCGGCGACAGACACGAGCTTCTCCCGAAGACGGCTGACGTCCCTCGCCGGGCCGACGCAGCTGACGCGAAGCACAGGGGACAGGATCTGCAGCCGGTGGTTCAACAGATACTGCAGCTGGGCTTTCTTTCGCCGCAGGTTCTTGTCCGTCACACCGTAGAAAAGGACGTGGGGGCTGGACGTCCGGACGTCAAAGCCCTGCTCCAGCTCCTGGTCCACCTGCAGGGTGAGGCCCCGTAAGAATTCGGTGTCCCGAGTCTCCTGCAGCGCAATCTGCCGATGAATGTCCAGGCACTTCTCCTCCACCTCCTCCTCCTCACACTGATCCACGTGCGTCCCCACGAGACACACCACCGCGTGGGGGACTTTGGCGCCCAGCAGATGGAGGAAATACCCCACATGGGAGTAAAAATTCCGAGGAAAATAAGTCTTTAGGTTCACCACCAAGATGTAGAGAGCACCAGGGGACAGAAAAAAGGGCTTGATAAGGTCATAGTTTTTCTTCCCTGATAGATCATAAACGATGAAGGTGAGACTACGGTCAGCATCTGCAACCCAGTTGGTCACATCGATCCCTGTGTTAGTCACCGTGAAGTCATCCTGCGGCTTACTGACGAGACATTGTCTCAACCTGGTTTTGCCAGCCTTCTTCTTCCCCATCAGCACCAGCTTCAGCCTGGGTTTGACAGCGGGCTGCGAATGAGCGAGCTCCTTCTGGTAGGCCGCGATGTAGGGGATTCCCTTCATGCACACTTCGTAGGGTGGCTGTATCAGAGGGTTGTCCTTCACCTTCCATATGTTAACCCTGGCAAGCTTTCCAAAGTTGTCTGGCAGAATGGCAATTTGGTTACCCTGTAGGACGAGTTCCTCCAACTGGTCCAGCTCCACAATGGAGTCTGGCAGATATGTAATTCTGTTATTGTCCAACCACAGATTGGCAAGCCTGGACAACTGGCCTATTTCCTCCGGAATAAAAGTCACCTTATTTCTGCTCAGGTAGAGCTCCTCCAGGCCAACGATCTCTAGGACAGCAGGAGGGAACTCCTCGAAGGCATTGGAGGACAGGTTCAGCATTTTGAGCTTCTGCATCCTGCCAAAATATGGCGGTAATGCGGTGAGGCAGTTGCTATCCAGCATCAGGCTCTCCAGGTTGACCAGGCTGCAGAAGTCCTTGGGCAGTGAAGCCACTAGCGTGCCACTCAACCATAAGATTTTGATCGACCGGAGCACAGAGATGCTGCTGGGAAGCCCGTCCAGCTTGTTCCCGGAGCAGTCCAGCTCCTCCAGGTCACTGAGGGCCAGGATCTCTGGTGGGAAACGGTCCAGCTTGTTGTGGTCCACGTCCAGCGTACGCAGCCTGCGGAGATGTGTGAGGCTGGCAGGAAGGGCACTAAGCTCGTTGAAGCTTACGTCCAGCTCCTCTAGGTTCTGCAGGTCTCCCAACCACAAGGGCAGGTTCTGGAGCTTGTTGTGGCTGATGCAAAGCTTCTTCAGGCCCACCGGCAGGCCCATGTCGTCAGGGAAGTGGCTCAGGCAGTTGTGGCTGAGGTCCAACTCTGTCAGCTGTGCAAGCCCCAGCACGGCCCGTGGGACCGCGACGAACCGGTTCCGGCGGAGGACGAGGATGCGCAGGTTTGCCAGGGCAGCCGCCAGCCCACGGGGAAGCTCCTGGAGGGAGTTGTTGCCCAGGTTGAGCAGCTCGATCTCACCCACATTATCGGGCAGGGTTATCTCATGGTTGTTCTTAGTGCTGAGAGTTAGCTGCCGGAGGTTGCTCCGGAGCTTCCTGGAGCGCAGGGCTGCATCCCTCCACAGCCTGGCCGTCCTCAGATTGCACTCCTTGTCAGCCATGGTGCTGCAGAGAGACCCCTCCTCCTCGCTTTCATGGAGAGAGATCATCTATTACCCAGCCAGCATGGCAGCCTGTTCCAGCACCTTGCCAGTAGCCCTGCTCTGCACAGCAGCCGTCACAAAGTCAGCATTATTAGCGGCAAGGATAGCAAAGCCGCCTGGGCAAGAGAAGACGTCTGCGTTAGCGATCGCATTAACAGGGCGGCGGTGGGCCAGCGGCTTTTCGTGCGTCCCCTCCTCCTGCGCCATGGAACAGAGAACAACAGACACCTACCGCAGCGGCGGAGCGCGGAGATAAAAGCCCGTTCCGGTGCGCGTCCTCCGGTGATGCGGCAGCCACACGCTTCCCGGCTCGGGGCGAGCCGACTCCGGTGGGGCTACAGGCGCTGGCTGGAGCCGCGATTTCCTCGCCGCGCACTTCGCTCTGGGTTGGGAGGTGCGGCAGCGGCAAACGCCTAAGCGGAGAGCACTGCGTCAGCGCGGACAGCCCACCTTCCCCGAGCCGGGGGGAGGACGGCGGGGGCGGCGCAGCCGGGCGGCTTTATCCCTGAAGGGTGGAGGGAGTAGCGTCGGTCCAAACTGCACTTAAAGACGAGACGCTGCCGATTCCGTGTTTTCTTTTTCTTTTCCGTGCTGGCGGACATCGGTTATCTTAGGTCGTCGGGGACTGCGCTTCTGTTTCGCTTTTGCAGGAGCCGATCTGTTTGATGAATCGGAATTGCAGCAAAACCATCCATAAATACGCTCCTGATTACAATGAAGCTCCGCTTCTTCTTCGCTCTGATAGAAAAGGCTTATTTTAAATCCGCCTCATTTTCCGGTAACATACAGTAAAATGCCGTATAGCATTAACGTCCTTGTGTTACCGGTAGACAGCCTTTTGTGTATGAAAACTGGGAATTTGTCTCCGCGCAGTGGATACTACATGTATGTATACGGAAGGCTGGTAAAATCACAGGGATATTTTTACAACGACAATCACCCCGTTTAATTTCACTTTTAATATGTACAATCAACACATCCACCTGTCCTACTATAAATGATGAATAATGTATTTAACGGCAGGCATCATTTTCTTATGATGTAATGGGCATAGTGCACAGGGCAGATACCATGCGTCTGGCTGCGTCTCATGCCGGTAGAGCCGCAGACGGAGTCCAAGCGCCGCCTGGTGGCCGTTGAAAGACTCTTTAACAAGGAGCCCGTAGATCTCTGCCTTATTGTTTTATTGATGTCAGAGTAGCTGTATCGTGTCATTGATTATATTTTAAAGCTATTTCATCCTCCTTATTCTGTCCACAAGCTTCCTGGCATGAGACAGCCAGGAATCCTCCTTCGGACTACAGAAAGATCTACTATTTTCCATACCAGATTCCCTACTTCTAAATAATTAAACAGACCCAAAGTGCCAGCTTCATTTCCCGAAACTGCACTATTACTGTCAGGTTAGACAGGTTGTATAATCGGTTTAAAATGTAAATCACTGCAACCAAGTTACACAAAGTGTGTGGCAACCCAAATTCACTTTAAATAAAAAGAAACAGGCAAACATTCTCATCTACAAAGATATGACCCAGTCTGGATATAACCTAGTTTGCAATTATCTGCAGAACACCAGCCTGTCCCCCCTCATCCTACTTCGGACAGAGGGCCAGGTGTAGAGGTCAGGACAGATAAATCCTAACTTGATGTGAACATTTGTCCATTTTGCTTTTAAGTATGAACACTAACAGGTCACTAGATACCAGCAGGGGTGCTGTCAGAGATACAGGACCCCCAACCCAGACTAATCCAGTCATGCTCCAAATATTTTAGGGTCCATGTCACTCAGGGATCATTGCAATTGTCCTAACTTCCTCTTCTCTTTAAGGTACCCCTGGGTACTGCTGTGCATTTGAAAGTACTGTTTGTCTTGGTCATGCGGCAAGTATCATGACACCCCCACACGAAAAAGACAGCGCACCCCTATACCACACCCCCCGGGCACGCTAAGGCAGCTGGATAGCAGCGTCAGTCTAACTGGCTACGTTACCAAGAGGCCACCAGAGGAAACAGGCCAGACTTCCTGAAAGCTTTGAAGGCATTTATTAATACTGATACATCTTTTAAAAAAAATAAAAGGAAAACAGAAAAACATGACCCTTAAAATATTCATCAGTAATTGCTGCTGTTTTTACTGAATGTACTGTTACTTTAATTGACAGTTCAAAGCATATTAAAACACCATCACGATGAGGAATTTGGGGGGGGCAGCAGGTCTCCCCCCACATGGATCACCATAGTACAATCCATCCATCCATTTTCTATAGCAGCTTATCCTATGTAGGGTTGCGGGGGTCCTGAGCCTATCCTGGAAACTATGGGCGTATGTTCTAACCCACATTAGTAAATCATCTTGGAAAGTGTGCTAAATGGAGACTGCTCCCACTGGCCACACCCCCACTTCCTGGCACAAAATTAAATTACGATATCACATATTAGTTCTTAATTAGGGGTGGCAGGGAATTAGGCGATGGGCAGAGTCAATCGCGACTTCCTGGTTTATATGGGGGCGGAGCTCCCTCCACGGGGGCGGAGCTGGGCACACTTGTCAGCTGGCCAGCGTGCATGCGCTCGTTGACGCGGAGCTGGCAGCCGTCCTGCAGCATGCGCAGGGCGATGCGGGCGATGTTGCGCGAGTCATCCAGGCCGCAGTGAGGCCGGCCCTCGTAGCGCATGCCCAGCTTCTCCAGCATGCTGCTCAGCTTGGTCTGGGTCCGGGGTACCTGGAGAGATGCGGGGGAGGGGTTAATGTCTCCCATCACTAGACCCCATCCCCGCTCGCCGACACGTCGCTCGGCTCACTCCAAACCTTATAAAAGTTGCCATAGGATTTGCGGATGTTGATCCACTTCTTGGCGAACTTGGGGTAGCGGATTCGACTGATGTGGCACTGAATCTTCAAAAACTTGTTCATGTCCCAAGACCTGCGGAGGGAAGTGTTCGGGAATTTTAAGGACCGCTACTGTTTTCAGTCTGAAGATCCAGCTGACATCCTCATCCAAAGAGACTTTTTAGCTTCTAACACTTAAACACAGCTTGATACTTCACTGGCGTAACTCATGTTAAGCTGCTCATTCCACAGCAGACAGACACAGGCTGAGAAATAAGGGTTCAGGCTGCTGGTGCCACCCGCCGTACCCATCAGTCAGAACCGCATATTTGTACTTTGTTCCAAGTTCCTTCTTCTGGAGCCACAAAACAGCTCTACCCAGAACATCAGGGAAAACATCTGCCTTGTCCACCGTCTCCTGGGAAGGGGAAAAAAGCAGGGGTGGTTAGACAGGCGGCAGGTGCCCCCCCCCCCAGGAGTGACACAACCACACGATGCACTGGGAGGCTCACCTGTGTTATTCCAGTGAGCTTCACACAGAACTCGGACAGCTGGGCATTCAACACCGGCCTCACATACTCCTGGAAGGTGTCCTCCTGCAAGCAGAGGGGGAACAGTGGCACTGGGGGGGGGCTCCGGGACGGGCTAGGTGACCTTAAATGGGGACACTTCAGCAAGGGGGCGTTGTCTTGCTGTCACAAGCTAATCTGTACCTCTATTTTGTCCTGCTACATTCTTCGCTTATATTTTGTGTCTCCACACATCAGTGCCAGGACATCCCCAGGAAGCACAAAGCTGGAGACCACATCCCAGAGAAGACCAGAGCCCAGCAGGACCGTCTCTCACTGCCTCTATGTCAATTTCTATACATCACGTCATGTCCAGCTTTGCTTACATGAAATACAGTGGTACCTCAGAACTTAAACTTAATCCGTTCAGAACTCGGGATCGAATCCTAAAAAGTTCAAGTTCTGATCGAATTTTCCCCATAAGAAATAATGGAAAACCAATTAATTGGTTCCCAGCCCCAAAAAATTACACTTAAATTTTTTTTTAGCATTTAAACACAAAATGAACAGGATAAAACAAGAAGAGCATACACTAAATACATCTAAGCACATTTATCAAAAAAAAAATAATCAAGAAAATAAATGTATCCAAACAATGTGTAAAGTTAAAAAAAAAAAAACCAATGACACCTTTTTCATAAACCCAGACACAGCACTACTACCTTGAGTCATACTAAGGGTTTGTATTTAATGTAGGTCCATTGTTTATTTTTATTATTACTCATTACCCGCGCATATAAGATATCTTAGATCTGCGTTCATGGTTCGATTTCTGAGATTCAGATCGAGTTCTAGGTAAATTTTTTTTCGAACTGGTTGGTTCAACTTAAGAAATTTGAGTTCTAATGAGTTCGAGTACTGAGGTACCACTGTACCTTTGATACAGAAACTGCCTGCATTGGTCTGGGCATCCCACCAGATGGGAGCTGGCCTGGGACAGTCAATTGGATCAGCACCTTAGAACCACTTAATGATCCATTAAGCAATAAATCCTCAACCTGACAGCGTCATGGAAACACGATGCCACCACACTGAGCTCCAAAGGCTAGTGTGGCTTCATATTTTGAAGTCACTTTGTGACACACTGCAGGGACTTAACAGCACGGTGTACAACACTAAAGGTGTGATTTAATAACCCACCTTTGCACCACACCCCAGTCACCCCAGTCACCCCAGAAACATAGAGCCACTGGCTCCTGTTTTAGGATTATTGGTTTAATAATCAGGGTAAATGAAGCCCTTTCATCCAAGGACCAATCTGCAGAGACGATGTCAAAACACATCCATGAAAGGCCCTTCTATGCTGCTCTTCCTTTTTCCCCCGAACTGTAAGCCTTAACCGATATTTGATACATGCATCCTCTCCCCAGATTACAATGGGGTTACGACCTAATAAACCTATCGTAAGGCGAAAAGATCGTAAGGCGAAAATTCATTTTTATACTGTATACCGAACCTAACATCATAGCCTAGCCTACCTTAACAATGCTTAGAACATTTGCCTACAGTTGGGCAAAATCGTCAACATAAAGCCTAATTTATAATAAAGTGTTGAGTATCTCATGCAATTTATTGAATAACGTACTGAAAGTGAAAAACATTTACCGTTTGTAAAGCTGAAATACCGTAACACTGACCATCGTAACCCGGGGACCGTCTCTACACCACCGTATACTGCATGCATGCTGCTTTCTTGCTTGCTGTTTTTTGTGCTAAACAATATATTTAAAAATAATTCAAAGGAGGAGCACGCTCAGACTCACGATCTCCAGCGTGCGTGTGTTGACCAGCACCATGGGGAACTCGATGATCTCGTGCTGGAAGTCGGGGGCGTTGATCTCCTCGCAGGTGGCCTCAAAGTCCACCACGCAGATGTAGTCGTAGTAGGTGTCGGTCGCCCCACCTGCTGCCATCGACTGCTGCAGCTTCTGCTTCTTGGAGTGGCTCTTTAAACGCTTGCGGAGCACATCCTTCACACCCCTGAGACGCGAGAGGGAGGGTGAGCATCACTCCCAGGCCCAGAAGGGGCGAGGGCGGTCAGCCCCACCCAACTGCCCCCAAAAAGCCACACCTGGTATCCAGCTTCAGCTCTGCCAGTTTCACTCGCAGCTCCTCCTTCGTCATGCGGTTGATGTGCCCGTTTGCCAGGGCGATCTCTTTGTACACGGGGTCGCTGAACTCACCCCTGGGTGGGGTGGCTCGGCTGTCACTGCAGTGCTCCGCCTGGGGGGAGGTGTCCACAGCGGCAGAGAGGCTCTCAATTGGCTACTTAAACTGACATACCACCATGGTTAGAGTGCATAACCTGGACAGCACCCAGATCGCGTCCAAAAATGATGACAACACCCGTATACGAAGCACTATAATGGAGTACCTCCCTTAAGACGACATGGTGAACTGATCTGCAAGTTTCATTTGGATTATCAAATTAACCGTAGCGATAATCATACAAAAATTCATCAATACAGATTTCCGCCGACTTCGCATTTAGAACAGGGACCACCGGAGTCAGTATCTCGATAGTGTAGCTGACCATCATATATACGTTACTATATGCATACAGTATTACTAGATAGTTACGGACAGCGGGTTATTATACGGCTGGCAGCGATGCCCATCCTCCTGCATATGTTACACTAACTGACTAAGCGATACACCCGATAACTTCCTACTACGTCCACTTTCAGGTGTCTCTCAATCAGTGTGTATTATTCACCATGGACCTCGGACGGGGTTCGACCGGCTGTAACTTACCGTAAGCCCGTACTTTTGTATATAAATGTGTCCCTGTAACGCGGAGGATCACTCACCGGGCGGGTTTGGTCCTCACTCTCCCGCACGTTCTCCTTCTGATCTTCCATGCTTCGCGGCTCCACCGAGCCGAAGCCCGTGGGGAGTCCGAGAGGCCGAGGTGAGCTATACGCAACGAGGGCGGGATGCTTCCGACAACCGCGGTTAAAACAGGCGCCGACGAGCCGACGATTTCAAACACCAGTGAGCGGACATTCCGCGTCTCGTTGGCTTATACTTACACGGCGATGCGGGGGGAAATGCGCCACCTAGCATCCCGGAGGAACGCTGACAAGTAATTGCAAGTCCTTTTTTATAATGCCACTTGTTTTGCCAAAAAGCTAATACATTATTGTTGATATGTCTTTAAATTAAGTGACTTTGGAATGCGAGTTATTCACCTTAAAAATTTTGACTAGGCCACCATACCATTTATCATCCAGAGGGCTGCTGACTGATGTCAGGTCCTCCTGAATGAAAGTGATTGAGAAATCCGTTGATAAATCCACTGAAATATCCATCAAGATATTCCAACAGTTAATGGAATTTTTTGTGCCATTGTGTGTGTGAGGAAGGGGGGGGGTACTGCATAATCATGATGTTTCTGCTCATGTCAATCACATGAAAACAACAGAAGCACCTGACATTTTACAGGTGTATCCATCCATCCATCTAATACCAAAGCCAATTTTCCACAGTAAGTGACACACGCCACAGCCCATACACAGATGGGTCGTGGGGGTGATGTAAGGGCAGGAACCACATCGCTGACCTGACACTTGACAGACATATCTCAGCGCATCCTGGTACATCCTTAGCTCTGCACTCCTACAGCACCACAGCTACACCCTAGGGCCAGACTAACTTCTCTGGGGGGCCCTGGGCTGGCATGAGTATGGGGCCTCCCGAAGTGTTTTTAGAGCATTTTAGGGATTATTGTTTGGAGCAAAAAGAGGAACGAGAGGGAATTAAAATGTAACATCAGTAATATACTAATCAAAGTGCACAATGCCAGCGATAAAACCTTCCAAACAGGATGGGGGAGGGAGTGCCGTCTGTAAAATTTGCCAACGGGGGAAGGAGATTATCACCATGGTTGATTAATCAGTCAAATTTAAGACACATTATATCATGGATTATAATATTCTAAGCAAAATTGCAATGTAAATGGATTGGAGCAGACATTTGGACAAATGGATTGGAGAAGACATGTGTTCTGTTACAAAAAAAAAAACAAGTATACATCAGTAGGGGGCCCCCTAGAACACGGGGTCCAGGGTTGTGTCCCTCCATCCCCCAAATTCTGCCCCTGCTACACTCAACTATACTACTAACCAGTTTAAAATGACCTCAGAGAGCTGATATGGGTTTGCATTACAGTGAGACATAGTGAAGCAAGCAGCACCACTGTCTATTAGTGCCTGAATTAACATCTCGACATGCCCTGTCCTCAACCTTCAAGTTCCTAGAAAAGTGATCATGGTTTGAATCACCTGAGAAAGGGGGTAACAGAAAGTGTGCCGTTTCTGCTCAGCCAACGTGTCTCACGTCTGGGAGGCTCTCCAGTCTCAGGTTATCTGACAGGCAGCTGGAAATTCCCACTATAGCACCAGTAACGTCACCATAAAAACCGGTTTAAGATGAGAGCTAATTGCGGGACATAATGCAGATTTCACAATGGCAGCTCCCTACCTTTACATGCAGCTCTCACAGAGAAACAGTTCATTTGGCTACGGAAGAATCCAGCCGCCACCTGGCTTATCAGACACGACTCGACCATGTGGATGCAGGTCAGCAGCCTTACAGGATCCCAGCCAGAGTCCATGTTCCTTCTGCCCTCTAGTTAAATTCCTCATTAAAGCTTGACATACATTTATTAAGTTGTAAAGCTTCTCAATTTCTTTGAAAAATGGCTTTAATGTAAAGTAACTGTTAGCCGAATATTATTTCAATGCTCCTTTTCAACATAAATTTGGAAGCTAGGGAGGGACAACCCAACTTAAGGAAAAGTATTCACCTCGAACCTGTGGTTAAACCGAGTGCTTAAATATCAAGTAGTTAGCCATAAAAGAAATCGTTTACACTTTACAGTGTAGTAAATTGTAAGCTGGAGGCAGGCTAGTGATACACCCTCAGCGATACACCCTCAGCGATACACCCTCAGCGATACACCCTCAGCGATGCAGCTGGAGTCCTCTTGGCTGGCGGCTTCCGACCTGCGCTAATCGCCATAAGGAAGAATACGAGCAAACAGCAGAAGCATGAGCCCTGTGCCTGTAGCCAGACTGATGGATCATTATGGGATACCTTATGGGACAACAAACCATCAAAAGTAATGCAGGTAAGAGTTTGCAACACCACCAAAACAAAAGCAGGAGAATCCAAATCTTTATTTTGCGAATCATTTTTACATTGCATTTAAAACAGTACACAAAGCGGATAACACTATATTTGAGGGGGGGTGTTTCCAGTCTCTCCCCTCCCGATCAGCCTGTTCGTACTTTCCAACAAACAGCAATCCCTTTTTTTTTTTTTTTTTTTAGAAAAAGAAAACATTTAAAATCGTTTGAAAGTGATTTTATTCAATGCAAATCAGTAGACAAAGAACACATCTGAACCCCACCAATGACGGCACTAGTTAAGCGCCAGTCCTTGGTGATTTTTATTTATATATTTTTTTTTTTTATAAATTCAAAACCTCTTTTTGTGACCAAGCAAGAAATTAAACCTTAAATTGTAATGCTAATTTGAAAAGTGCAATTCAGAATTGAATTTAAACCCACTAACAGGGAGAATCCTTAACATGACCAGCCCATTTCAGTTTTAAAAATAAGCCACCGGACACGGGTGATCAGCAGTCACCTTCACTGAGCAGTCTTAACAGTTTAAACAAGTGGAAGTTTGCATTCAATCATAATACAGATAAAACCATGCTACAGTGCCAAAAGCAGAACATTCAGGAAATAACTCAACTTACAAAAAAATATATATATTCAGTCAGATTAAAAAATTTAAAATTTCATGTACCTCTCCTTTGCCTCCAGCAAGGGGCAGCCTGGTGCAGAGCCAATATGACAAAATCTGGCTCAGATGAGCAGCATTGGGACACGAAGCTCCAGCAGCAGTGACTGACCTCATTGGCCAGACTGTGGCATCCATGTGGCGCGGGTGGCCCCTTTCCGCAGCCCCAAGTTACAGAGCTGACTGCCCTTCGGGCCACATGTGCCAAAGCCTGGTGTGCAGGTCCATCCAGCACATGGCCGGCCCACCTCACTCCACTAAGTGTCACATCTCAGTAACTCCTGTATCCCCCGCCCCCCAAAACCAGCCTTCCACAGCTGCACTCTCCCTGGTACCATCTCCTTTAACCTGCTGGACTTAAATCCCTGAACTTGCAGAGTTTAAGGAAAAACAAGAATGACAGTTAACCATGAGCATATTTCATGACATCCAGCAGCTCATGTCTACTTCAAAACCACCCAGGTAGGCCATTGTGCACAGAAATACACATAGTTTATCTCAAGGACCATAAGCACCAGAGCTCCTGCCTGCAGGAAGTCAACCTGCAACAATCAAGACCCACCCAAGCTATTCCAGAGCGCAAATCAGCTCAATCACCATGACGACTACAGGTATTTAACTGTAGACGTAAATGATCTAATCATGTTAAATGATGCAACCTGCATTGCAAATTGCATATTATATTGCACAAATCAGCCACTTTGCAACTCTGCGGACTGCTGACTGCGGGAGGCAAGAACATTCGACTACTGCATCCACAATCTGAGAACACCCCTCGACCCCCACCCGATCTCCTGAGTCCTGTTCTTCTGGAACGAAGCCGTGAAAGGAAGTCCTCACTTCCCTTTAGTCAATAATACGGCCCAATCTCTTGATACCCAGCATAGCTCGGCCACTCTGGGAAGATTCCGTGTGAGCAGCGGGGACTGCCATAGCGGTCAAAGTGTATGCCCAATTGGTCGAGGCCCAGCCCTTGATGGCCACTAGGGGCAGTGTTCTTCAGTGCTGACTGGATTATCCTGTAGTTCTGGCCATGGTTGCTGTCCCAGTAGGTGCAGCCAGCAACCTCGTAAGAGACTGCAAACTCGATGCGCTTGTGCGGGTGCAGCTGCTCCGGAATAGCCACCTCGAAAGAGAAGGTGTCACGGTCAGATGCTCCGTAGGTATCCCTCACGAACTGGCACTCGACGTCCTCGTGGCTCTTCCATGTGTCGAAGGTGACGCGGATCTTGACGCTCTTCTCAAACGACAGGTTTTTGACCTTCACAGTGCCTGCAAGAGACCTCTCCTTCAACACGCAGTGCTCCAGACAGACACGTTCCCTGTCCAGCCTCTGCCGGAACTCCACGTAGTCTGAGGACGGCTGGGCGAAATCCAGGACCAGGCGCCCGTCGTCCGGGAACGGGCTGACCACGGGACTCAGGAATTCTGAGATGTTGCACGGAATGTCAACGGGGTCCTCAAACTCAGAGAACACCTTGACCATGGTGAGCGCTTGCCCCTTGTGGTCCGCAAAGGACACCTGCTTCTTGGCCTTGCCATGCTCCTCATCCTCTCCAGCGTGATGCGTTTGTGGTGGCCGCGGCGTCACTCGTAGGTTGGAGCAACGGAGCAGGCACGGCCTCAGAGGCTCGACCAGCCTCGGCCCTCGCCTGCAGCACAGCTCCTCCCCGGATAGGTAGAGCGGTAACGCCAGATCTGCAGGCATCGCCGATTTGTGGGACAGGAAGCCAAGTACACTGTGGGTAGAAAGACGAGGAGAGAGAGAGTCACCACACAAACACAGCATTTCATGGCACTGGCATTTCCAGCTGAGGGGTTAAAGCCTAGTTCATACATCACTTTTCCGCATGCGCTCTCTTTGTTTGGAGATGCGTGCAGAATCTTGTGATTATTCTACACTTGTCTATAGACACAGAGGGTCATGATTAGCGGATGCATACAGCAATGATGTTCCACCAGAGCAGGAGAGGGCAGATGTATTGCAGCAAACACAAATACAAGCAGTGTAGTGAAATGGGTAAACTTCATGAACCGTTTTGAAGTTGTTAAGCTTGAACTGTATTGGGGTAATATAGCACACCATAGCAATTTGAAATTCTTACAAGAATCAAGATTTCAAAATGCCAGAATAGTGTTGCTTATGAAAATTATAGAATCACTCATCCGGTATTAAGAAAAAAAATATTAATGTCAGAAATTCAAGTATTTCATTGAAAACATTCAATCTTAAATCAATTATTGAAAAACACAAGCTCCCATTTTTTATTTTTTTTATTATTTTTTTTTACTTTGAATTATAGAAAAAAGTTTGTTTACAGTAAGTAAACACTCACGGAAAAATTAGGATACATGTTATTCTACCTCGGTAACATTTTCACAGTAACAGAATTGACAATTTTATACTTAAGACAAAAACTCCACTTGCTAGCATAAATTCTAACAAATGTCACTAATCAAATCATGGTTAAAAGGCAAACATCTGTCTGATCAATAATCAATGTACTTTGCTTGTATTGCAGTAACAAGTTTCACATTTAAAAAAAAAAAAATCTTGGTCCAAATATTTTAGATTAAAATAATTTCACAGAACAGAACTCCATGTGCCCAAGATATCATCAGTAAGAGGAAGACACATCATTTCCTGTAGTTTACAATAGTGGGAAATAATTCTTCCACCAATTTAAAAGGAAAGTATATGGTAACAGAATTGATGCAAGACTCGAACATTCGAGGTTTAATTGACTATTTAGGCATTTTATAAATAAAATGTTACCAAAAGAAAAGTAATGGAAAACATTTTTATTGTACAGCAATTCATGATGGATAAAAACCACTGACCAGTTCGGACAAGAAATCATGTTTTTCAGCTACATAAGAGACTTTTTAAAGGAAAAAAAAAAGTATGTTATGGCCTGTGACATCTTATGATCCATATACATATAATTACTAAAATGAGAAAAAAAATAAAGCCATTTGAACAAAGGAGGCCAAAAATTACTTTGGACACCAAATCTACCCGCAATTATAAAGTCACCCATATGCGACGGTACAGCTTAATGTCTGGAGAGTAAGAAAACTTTGATATGCAGGTACCTCCGACCCTTCTCATAGAAATACTCACCATCTCTATTCTATCTTGGCTGACCTCTGCCCTGTGAAAATCAGTGCTGCCACCTACTGGAAACATCTGGTCAATTTCCTTTAACATGCATAGTCAAGGACGAGCTGCATGATTTCTGTTGGCTGAAAAAAATGTGGACCACATACATCGTCTGGCAAAAGCCCCTAATGAAGAAATTTAGGTGACTTCTCCTGTGCGCGACTGAAGTCAAGTTCCTCGTATGAACCGGCCGTAAGCCACCCATGGCTGTTCCTCCTAAAGTGAGCAGACTCCTTTCAGACACGCCAAGCTCATTCACAGAATCCTGCCTCCGACCCACTGACGACGTCCCGGCAGCGAGACCCCCCCTGCTGCCTGTGCTGTTTGCGAAGCAGCACCAACAGCACACCTATAATCAGAGGAGGCACCTCCAGAGCAATTTTTTTTTCCATTCCTATAAATGCAATTAAGGGATTCACACAGAACACTGAAAAGGAAGGAAGGCACTGAGGAGAAGGAAAAAAAACTAGCAGAACTAGTGGAACTGTAGTTAGCACAAGGCATAAAATCCCACACGAGAACCAGAGACTCTGGTGAAAACCTACTATATGCCTTGGTGACTTTCCAATATGCTTTTTCTGTAGATACAGTTAAGCTGTGTGTTTGTGGCTACTGGCTTTCCAGTCTAAGCTCAGGGTAAAATGTTTTCAGTCAAACCACACTGATAAACCATCAAGGAAGGACAAGCAGACTATCGAAATTGCAAGCTGCAGCATTCAGAGGGGAACACATAAGAAAGACTAACAGTCCTGGCTGTGTAAAATTTTTTTTTTTAAATCTGATTATTGCTAGTTCAAAGTCCACTGGATGTTGCTCAAAGTCTAAAAAGGTTCATCCCTAATTTTGGATTTCAAATGCACCCGTTATCTGGCTTCAACCTGTGGGCCCAAGATATTTATATTATGGGAATAAAAGTTGCGATAAGCACGACGGACGGTACCGGCGTTTATACTACGATGGGCTCCGCACCCCGCCTCTATACGCTGGGCTGAAATGCATTGAGCGAGCCGTTTCATTCATACGTGATTTAAAGCCTGTAAGAGGAGAGGAGGGTACCAGAGTTACCAACTATGGACAGCTGGCTGACGTGAGATTTTCAATTCGACACAAGCCTGCACGTACATTTATATGCATGCAAGAATTTCATTACCTTGTAATAGTCTGTAGGGTTTGCAAACTACCGCAATGCTTTTGATGCAACTAATTTTAGGTTTATATATAATATAGATTTGAAGGAAGACTTCTTGCGTGAGCGTCACGCCACATGCGTGAGAGTTGCCCTGAAGGACAGTAGTCCGCGCCTGACCTCCCTTATTGAACGTCAGTAGTCTCACACAGGCATCGTCCTTTTCCAAGCCTACTGTACTACTGTAGCTATTCTATAGAGTTGCTTTAACGTTATTAATTATGTAAAAGGTTAAGGCATTATAAGACGACCCCGTAACAGTATAGCCTACCACCAACGGCGATCACTAGAAAATGAAGATGCTCTAACAACAATGAGAGCCGGAGTTTGTTTATTTATTAATTTTGCATTATTTTCTCTCTAAACAGCCATTTGTGACCGACTTGCTACAGAGGGCGACCCACGGTCATGGTATATACACCGTACAGTCATTTCGATGTGGGCCGCAAGCGAGAGCATAAACTGTCCGGTTGCAGTTATTTCCATGCTTATAATTAAAGACTGATCATAGTATCGAACATGCCATGTAGGAGTGACCGGCAGATAAAAGCAGGTTTATTTGCTCGTCGGATGTGGACATCGATTTGACGGTACTCAAATAAATAGACAAACAAATAATGAACTACTTTTTAATTATTAATAAAATGTACATTTCTGGTGTATAACGCAACACTTACATGTTAAGCCATCTTTCACACAACACACACAGAATATTAAATGCCTCAATTAAACAGTATGGATACGTTTCACTAGTTAAAGGGCGAGATGGTCTGGTAATTTCGGCAGTTTCTAACAGAAGTACTTAGCACTGGGTTTGCAAGTCATATTTCGGAAAGCACTGCCCCCCACCACCTGCAGTCCAATTTCAAGACCTTCAACCCTCATAGGGTTTCATTCCCTAGTGTATCAATTACTGATTGGTAAACAGAAAATATTACCTTTGGCAATCCATTCATTCCGCATTTCACAAAGCAAAATTATCTACGCGTCCATAGTTTGTGTTTCTTCCTGGTTTTACCAGCCAAGTAGGTTACTGAGTATAATTTCCTGGTTTCTATTCCGACTGATACGCGCACAGAAGCTGTGACACTATACTGCAATGTGCGCCCGTTTTAAAAGGCAGGGACGCCGCATGTGGAGAGGACGCCGCCACACCGAGCCAAAGCAGCTCACCCCCGAGGGACAGAGTAATGCTTCCTATTAACGTCTTAATCAATCAGCTTCTTCTCCGAGTGGCGATTTATTTTTTATTTTTTTTAATCGCCAGCTTTGCAAATCTAAACAAAAAAAGTAGATGAAGACCAAGACCAATGTAGAGGTTATACCCTTACATTATTAAAGGGTAAAGGACAAACATAAACAGAAATCACTCAAACAATACTTTGAAACTCGTGCACCAAGAGAAGCATTTGTAAATAAAGGCTGTGGAGACAAAGGAAACCGGTAAACCTAAATTAAAAGTGGATGCAACTAAAACCTAAGCGCAAACAAAACAATCTATTACAGTTAATTAATTATTGGAGAATATCACCCCAGCCAAACTCACCTGGTGCAGTTCATCTGAAACATTTATGAACGTGAGCAGAGGTGACCTTACTCCCCCGAAATGCCGCACCGTGTGAATCTTAACTTTCGACCATAGATTAACCTTTACAACGTTCAATAAACGCCTCGTTAGAACCCAGCTTGGTCAAATAGGCCATGGCATCTGCACCCCGGCTCGGGAGCAGAACTGGCTTTCTAGATCAAATTGCGTTCACGTGGACGCGTCCCGACAGCCAATCAGCAGGAGGCGGGCAGGCGTGACACTGAGTCCGAGGGAGCGCCGGTCAGTGCGCATTCACGCGGTGCGCGCCACCCGCGAGGTTAAAGATCGCCGCTTTAACCCCCACGGACAACTGCGTTGGAAAGCATTGTTTATACTGATCGGGGGCTTGCAGGAGCACTTGTGTCATAGTCATACAGCTTATGCAGGCCCTGCCTACGGGCATCATGTTAAATATGAGGCAAGTAAAGGAAAACTGTAACTGAGAACTGATTATATGTTCTGTTACTTATGATAATGTGCATCACGCTGTATTTAAACCACAAGACACATGTCAGTGTTAGATTGACCGTGCCGTAGCTATTCAACGTGCTATATTCTGATCGAAACGTGTTGAAAAACGCCTTTTTGTAAAGACGCATATTAAGGACCCCCGAAGTTATGTGACTAATTATATTTGAATTGCAACTTCAATTAGGATATCAACACGTTAGATCGCTCGTTGTAAAAATGGACGCAAGAGTAACAAAAATCACGCAAAAACCGTTATTTTCAAGGGGGCGTGTGTGACACAGACCTAAATTTAAGATAATAATCTGTATGCAGGGTATCCTTAAATTCCCACATTCTCTAGAATTACCAATTTGAGTTGATTTGCATGTGATAAGAATGCTTTGACAAAATATATGCTATGTCGAACACAATATCTATACTGAGCAACTGGGCCAGTCATTGACAGCCCTATAGTGGTGGCTTACCATGGGTGTAGGGGGATAGATGTTCGGTTATTAATGCTAGCGTTAAGACTAGCTCATATAATCTTTTCCTTTGATATCTGGAGACGACGGTATACCTAATTCAGGATTTCCATTCGGAATATTTATTTCGGGATAACTAGATTCTGTACGAAATAAGAGAATTTTCAATGAAATTAATGAATTTGTTTATTAATAGGCCTACTGCATGCAGGAGCGTAGGAATACTTAATTTGGCTTCATTTATCCCCTCAATAAATATACCTTTGTATCTAAATTATGAAGTTAAGTTGTGACTCCCCCCAGTATCAAACTTTCTCCGACGCCGTTGACTGTATACGACAAATTTATGGCACAGCGATTAACTATACGACTAAATAGTCCACTGCCATATAATTAAGGCTACGATTTTGGCGGCGTTCTGAGTTACGGAATTAGTATGCATAATAAATCTTAAGGCTCCGGTCGTAGTAAATGGTAAATAATCGGTAGGCGTATATCTGAATAAAAACGCCACCCAATCAGTTAAATTTTTAGGCCTATTTCCGTCCAGTGATGTGCACTTTTCAAGGGGCAGGCGTACATTAAGCGTGATCGTCGGTGACCCCCCCGCCTGCTTCCGTTCTCTTCCGTCCTCTTCGTATTTAATCTATCTGTATATGTTGAAATGATCCAAAGACGTTTTCAGTTCATTTGGCCTGAAATATGGAAAATCATAGTCCTAAATCTAGCTGTGTTTGGGAATCACCGAGAAACACGTTTACGGAAAAAAGTTACTTAGGCTATTACTTTTCTCTCTTCTCGTGAATATTGTGATAATATGGAAATAATGAGCTATTTCTCTCACTATGAAGAATGAAAACGTCTTTGTTTACCATTTCTGTGACGGAATTGCATAGTTAAAATATATTATTTTCCCTCCTATGAAAGTTTCAATATATTTATAATATATTAATTTATATAAAAGTAAAATTTTAATTTATGGGCAGACCTAAACAGAAAACTATGCAAATTGCGTTTACAATTATGGGAAATTACCTTTTTTGCTTTACAGCTTACCATTGTTTTTACCCGTTTCGCGTTTAATCTTACAGTAATTTCTACCCATAATTCAATTCTGTTACAGGTCTCTTGGGTTTTTTGAAGTGCCTATTCTTTATAATTAGTTGAACGTTCAGTTTTGAGCCGAAGGACTCCCAGAAGTACAATCCTTTTCTTCCTTTCGCACACTCTTCCCCGAATATGGTCTGTCAGCGCCCGAACCATTTTCACTGCAGTCTGCGTAGGTATAAACGAATCGCTTCAGTCTGGTGCACGATGGTGGATGAAAATACTGTCAGATAAGAGCATGTTAATACATATCTGGTATATAGCTATGTGGTTAGTAGCCGAGAACTTTGACTTATTTAGTGATGAATGTGATGTAGATCGACACTGAAATACAGTATATCTTTAGTCATGAGCATGCAATCTGCCCTTTCAAGGAGGGAGAGTACCGATTCATTTTCTACGTCTCTCTGTCCTCTCTCTACTTGACAAAGGTGTCATCCTCCGTGATCACAGCTACGGGCAAAATTTTGCTTCTTCCCCGTCAGGAAAAATTCCGGAGGATGTATTGGATTGTAAGTATGTTTAAAATTAAATCTTCTGTTTCCGCACAGTCCAGTAATTAAGAATGACGGACAGGAAATATCCAAAACAGAATTTTACTCTCGTTGCATTTATCCAATCGTTCAGTCGGTGTTTAAGTTCATTATTTATTTTGCTTTAAAGTAACGTCGCCTCCCATTTTATAGTGCAAACGTATCTTGAAGCCAATTCGAGCGATCCTGCGGCTCCTGGGAGAGGGCGACATCTCACGGCCCACCGAGGAACTGCAGGTCTTCTACTACTGCATCTTAGTCGTCGGTCGTTACATCCGTGGCGCGCTGCCAAGGCGCGCGTCACCGGAGGACCGGGAGCGTCGGGATGTGTATGATCTCTTTGTATTAATAAGTACAAAAACAGTATCGCACAAGCCCGGCTATACACAATCAAAGTCACACGTTAGTTTTAATACGTTTAATCAAAATGGACATAACCAGACAATGCTGGTATCGGCATGTGATAGTGCATTGACTTGTGCACACAGAACACGTACCTTTATCCACGTGCAAATAAAGATCAGGCCTGGGGGGCAGGGGTTGTTTTGTCCAGCTAGAGAGGGAGTGTTTTGCTTTTCTTTTCAGCAACCAGTGGGAGTATGTCTCTCTCTACACCGTGTTCCAGGGATGGGAACTGCACAGCCTGTACACACAAAGGCTTCCACAGCTTCAAGGTGAGCAACACTCCTAACCTCCAAGACGAGCCAAGACTTTGTGTTTCTCTTATTTCCTTATTTTTGTGTATCCCTCGATTCATGTCTCTGTCCATTCACCTCTGTACCACATTGAGGCAAAACAAATGACTTGAGGAAATGGCACCCAGTTCACACAACACAGTGCCGTCCTGCTCCACAGCCTGATGACAGCTGCTCTTGTCATGTCTCTCGGTTGCCCAGGCAACCTATGATGGGTGGCGCTACAACTTTTTGGCAGGTCGGCTGCTGAGGGGCTGCTGTGACCTTCCGAGGCTTTTCCTGGCCTGGGGTCTCCACAGCACCCGGACGCTGACGTGGAAACCAAACGCAGCTGCACCGGGCCCCTCGGCTGCACGGCAAGTGAGAGGGCAGGAAGTTGCAGAGGAGTAGAAAAAGGACTGAAGATTGAGCTAGATTTACCAGCTCACAGGGCAGGAATGAGGCAGGCTACTTTTCAGCTTAAAAGACAGAAAATCCTTCACTCCAGACATCTTTTCTCCAGGATGAGAAATAAGGCCTTTCAGTTTGGAAAAGAACTCCCTAATGGATAGCGTTCACGTATTGCAATAAAATGGCTCCTATCAAAGATAAATGATTTGCCAGCCTTCGCTCTTTTGATCATTGAAAAGTCTGGATGAATGAGTTTCACAAGCCTGCTGTCTTATCTGCTAAGAAGGTGCTGAGCTGCTGTTGGCAAAAATGTGAATTATTGAGCTTTGTTGCGACAGCCAGACTAACTGTGCAATGGCACGTTCACAGCACTGCCAGCTGGGGGGGGGGGGCTTTTCTGCAGCCCTGCCACACCTCCCATAACATTCTAATGACCTGTTATATAATTATTGGGCGTGAAGTATTTTATCTAGAAGTATCAGTTAATCCGCTGTAATAAGAATGAACCTTTGTTGGAGTGAGGCAGAATGAGCCTGATGCTTTCTGCAGCCGTTCTGTGTCCCCAAACAATCTGTTTCTGTACATTTGACCTGCCATTTTCCAGCCACCCACTCAACTGGTCTTATTGGTTTAGTTGCATTAGTTGATGGCACTTAATATGAGTAATACCCGATGGCTGATTTGTACGTATGTAACCGTACACGTGGCCTGTGCAGGACGCAAGCATTCCTGCACCTCTCTGGACGCACATGCCTGAATGCTAATTAGGGATGTTAAGTTTCACGCCTTTCAGGGTAAGCTGTACAGTGACAGTTAAATTTAAAGGACTTTCCAGCTGTGGAAGTGGTGTATATTGTGCATGTTTGTGCTTATTTAACAAAATGTTGGTGATCTTCACTACTTTGAAACAATATGTTGAAATGCACCTTATAGCTGATATAGCTGATCTGTGTCTCGTCTTTATGACCACTAATGCATGTTTTTGGTGCCTGACTTGCCTCTTTGTGTGGTTTTTCTTTTTAATAAACAAGGACCGGCCTGCAGAGTCCATGGAGAAGCAAA